AGTGACCAATCGTCCGGGTTTGTTGAGACCTAAATGAGCTGAGCAAAGTAAGTGATGTTAGTGGTTACTAGAGATGCCTTTCTTAGTTCAGGACGCTTTCTCGTTCCCGTTTAAAAATTTTCTCTAGCACTTCTCTTGTTCGAATCATTTTCTTTACTCATTTAAGTACGATGTTTTGTCGCTACTTCACTGCGGCGCTTCTGTATCGCGGTTCACGTTTTTGTATTAGAATAAGACTTCAAAGAACTTCTGTTTTTTATTCTGGGCTTAATTGTTCCCTGCTAGGCATTGGCGCTGTCACCACCTTTTGGGACATTCTGGGTGGTGACGGCCCGTGCAAGTTGGAGAATTTGTCTTTCATACCATTTGCCACGTGGATAGTATTGCGTTATTGTAGTTGGTCTTTTTTGCCCTTGTCGCCTTTCGTTGTCTATTTGTTGCGTTGTAGTTCGCGCTTGGTTGCGTTTGTTTTGGTTTTTGGACCTTGCGTTTCAGTTTGCGCTTGTGGTTGGCTTTGGTGTTGCGCTTGCTGGTTTGCGCTAATGTTGCGCTTTCGTTGCGATTTGTTGCGTATTTTCCCTTCTTTTTTTTATCCGCCCTTTCTGGGTTGACATTTCGCAGCAAACTACGAACTACTATTTTGTCCTTCCGCTTCTCATCCATTGCTGATTCCATACTATTTTGACAATCTAATTCTTAGGTCGCGTGCGATAACTACCTTATGTATGCTGCAGTCTCCTTTTATTTCTCCCTTGACCCCAGGGCCCGATACGTTTTGTTTTCTCATTTGCCTCTTAAGAGATAGTCCACCTCTTTTTATCATCTTTCATCAGCCTCGCGAATCCCCATTGTACTCTCATTCTGCTGTGCTTATACCTCGTGTCACTTTTGTGCGTTCTCTATTCCCCCTCGGGTCTCTTTCTTTTCCTCCTTTTTCTTCTTTCTTTCCTTTTCTCTTAGCTTTCTTTCTCTTCCTTCTTTTTTTTTTTCTTTTCCCTCGCTTTCTTCTTTTGAGCCCATACATTATATGGTGCCTTGTTCCTTGTGCTGTGCCTTTCTTTCCCTTGTTTCTATGCGACAAGGAGGTAGTATGTTTTAATCTTTTCTCAGTAAGCAGCCCTGCTGGTTTTTCTTGGTAGTGCTTGGTGCCTTATTCTTATCTTTTTTTATTTATTATGAAAATGCATATACTTTTAATCCCACCCTGTTTTGCTTTTCTCGTCCCGGTTCATGAAATCACTCATTCACGTTTTTGGTTTAGCCTTTTTGATTTTATGCAATAATTTATTAATTGGCCACTGCTAGGTTACATAACATTACTTACTTTCTCACTCTAGTAAAATGATGGCATTTCCCATTCTCTTAGTTTGTTTGGCTGCTCGATCTATCTCCCCCATCAATTTGCTTGTTTGTGCTATAGCTCAATACCACAGAGCTTTATACCAAAAAAACGACTTTTACTACTTACTCCCATTTATAGATAGTAATTTATAATTAATGAAATATGAATTATTTGAAGTCTTTTTTTTTCTATTGAGTCATGATAGTTTATTTTTATTTTTTTTGTATCGCATGTCTTGGTAGGTCTAAGTTTCCTGTGTCTACATCTCGTGTTCCCTATGTATCGGCGTCCTGTTGACTTCTATTACCTTGACGTCTCCGGCCCGACAGATAGTGCATTTATGCTAGAAGATGATGTATCATTGAGAAGAGTCAAATTAGTGAAGATTAGATAAATAAAATTATATAATTTTAAGTGAAACAAAATCTCGATGCAAAGCATGTTTTATATTTAAAAATTAAATTATAATAATATATTAAATTATATTATAAATAATTTAATCTAATTTTTTAACTTAAAAATGTTTAAACATAACAAGAATATACATAAATAAATTAAATTATGAAAATATGCAATAATTGATTTTTTTTTTTTTATCGAATTTAATGAGGAAAGTTTACTTACGGTTTGTGAATTAAAAATCATAAAGTCTAAATATAATTATCAATCCATCTAGTTATAAAAGGAAAAAAAATAAAGGCCTTTAATTGCCTCGTAAAAATTTGTATGGGCTGCGCAATCTCAAAGCACTGAAACCGTGACCATTCATCTTCTTATTAAAATATCGTGCAAACTTGACGTAATCATTCGATAGAATGAGTGAAAAGAATAATTAATTTAGCTTCTCCGATCATTCAAGAAGCCATATTAGATAGTCCCACCCCCTCTTAAAAGGGACGACATCTCTTCAGAAGAGAGACAATTGAAGTAATAATATAACTTTCATTCATAAATTTCTAAAATTATTTCAGAAGAGAATATCATTATTTTCTTAAGAATAAATACAGTAGATATAAATCAGATTTCGTTAATAATAATTAATTATTAAAATTCTTATACTATGTATTAAAATATCTAAAAATGATTTACAACAATAAAATTTCTCATAGAAATTTAGCGAATAAACAGTGAAATTAATTCTAATGGGGCCAAGGCCAAATGCAGAATGTTTATCCGGAGACCATCAGGTAAATGCCAGTCAACAGTACCCCTAGCCTCAATTAACTGATCGGGTGAGCAGTACAGCCACGTAACCCGCCGCGAGCAGTACAAGCCACGATACCACAAAAAAGTACATGTCAG